TGGGTGTTTGCCATGTTTCTGTAAGAAGCAAAATGTCTGGATTATGTTATGATCACAGAGAAACATCTCTGTGTTCATTAGAGGCAGACAGTTTAACAAAGCAAACAATCACAGTGAATTCATATGTTGTGCACTCTGTCTCTAGTGAGAATTTTCAGCAACTGGTAAATTCAAACAATGTTCTAACCAGTTGGACTAGACAGATGGAAGAGCAGATGTCAAACAATAATAGTTCAGGTCGTGTATAGAAGAGCAGTGAATGTGTCTTGGGCAACATACAATTCCCAGTGTTTTGCAATAATCACATGTAAGAGAGACAAGACGAGGCCTAGAATTAAAGCCATGAAGCTGTGATGGTTTATATTTCAACTCCACAATAAAGCTAGCAAACATGACTAGCATGAGCACTCTGATGAAGCCACTGAATCCAATTACAGTCACATACATGGTTATTCATGAGACTAAGTTCAACATAAATCAGCAAAGCATGAGCTGCACCTCACTGAACTGCAATACTGTGTAGCTACCACAGACCAAAGCCCTGACAGGCCAACACATAGCAGAAGACTAAGAGGGGAGAGAAGACCCATCATTCAAAAGGCTGTTGGACACAGGTAGTTGAGAGGGTGGAGACACACTCACCAACTATGCTGATAAGGTGTATATCTCATCAGGGTAGGCCAGATGTGCAGCAGGCAGGGGAGCAATAGTGGCCTTCTGCAGCATCTGAGGCTCTGGATCATATATAGCTGAGGGCAAATGACAAAATAGAAACTCCAAAACGCCAACAGTCCAGTTCCAAAGGTTAGTTCAACACTGTACAATTCAAAGCAGTTAAGAAGCAAAGGCAAAAGAAAAAAAAAAGCCCTCCAATGAGAAGTGGCGGCCAAACACACTCAGCATTCTCTTACAGGAAGTGAGATATTATCATGCATGTGTAAATAAAGCACTCTGGGTCACTCATGCTGGTGTTCGCGTCTGTGAGGCCCCATCAGGTTTCCTGTCAGTGTGGCTTCACCCACCGAATCATAGTGTCATTTAATACTATTATAGTTACTGGAAAATAGAGACGTAGACCACATAGATGTTTCAGAGTTCACATCTCAGTACCATAAAAAGGGCCAGAAAGAACAACTAATGAGACCACAGAAAGGAGAGCTGATAGATTAAAATAAACATAAAATATAGTTAACTACATGAGCTCAGAGCTGCCAGACATGGTATTAGTCTACTTTAACATTGCTCTGAGAGAAAAGATTCTGGACTACGACAACAAATCAGCATAACACTGCTGAGAAATGGCCACACATACACATATAAAGATGTGTCTGTGTGTGTGTGTGTGAGTGTGTGTGTGTATCTATCTATCTAAGGCAATTCTTGTAATTTCTGACTAGGAAGATCATCTCTGTTAGAAAAACCAGCATATGTTGCGTTTTGCATGTTGGTATGCTGATCAACCAGCATGACCATAGTGGGTGTTTAGCTAACACAGCATCATCCAGCAACAGGTCAGCATAAACCAGCATAAACCAGCTTTGACCAACATGGAATTCATTTTTCACTTTTTTTTCTGCAAGGATGTGAGACACTAGAGAGGTGTCTTTATTTGGCTATTTCTTGCATCCAGTTGGGTGAACTGCAAAAAAGGAAACGGTCAGTGTTCTCACGACTCAGAGGCCACCATGTCACTGTGTGTGGTTTTCGATTCTGAAGAAGCTGCTGATAAAGTTTCTAAAAGACAGAAGAGTTCCGGTCTAGCTGATTTAAACACAGCTCCTGTGAGCTGCACGGACATTAGAGTGGGTTAGACTCCAGTGAAGAGCTGCTGAGAGAGCTGTGTACTCAGTGTGGTATACAGGGCTAGTTTTTATCTTCTCTTCATCGGGCTACACGTCTCTGAAGGTGAGTGACTTACATATATATATATATATATATATATATATATATATATATATATATATATATATACACATGAGAGAGAGAGAGAGAGCACTAACAAAACACTCCACAGAACTAACAACAGTATCGAACTATAGCATCAAACAGACGAGAGTAAAACCGAACTAGACGGATCAGCAACTTCAGTTTGAGCCAATCATCAAACACGTGACCACGTGGAAACCGAGTGAGCCGGTAGGCTGACACGCTGGCTGTCCGCGCAGTTATTAAATGGGAGGCTCCGCCTCTTTTGGCCGATTAACAACGCGCTTGCCGATGATTGACTGCTCCCTCCACCTATAGAAAGACGGAGAGACAGACAGACACACACGCACACAGACAGAGAGAGAGAGAGAGAGAGAGAGAGAGAGAGAGAGCACAAGCGGAGGGGAGAAAAGAGAGAAAACACACGCAAACACTAACGCTGACACATAACACACACACACACACACACACACACACACACACACACACACACACACACTAAACACATTACACTAAATGTAATCTGATCCAGCTGGACCTGGTTTTGTTAGGTATTTATTACAGACGTCTCTGCTGTTTAGCTTTATTCTCCTTCTATAGTCAAAATGAATTGTTGTCTAAAAATTAACATCTGTACATTTTAATAAGACTGTTCTGATCATTTACAATGAAAAAGCAAATAAATAATATTGCTGCGTATCTACATATCTACATATCAGCTGTTTGCTGATGTTCTGTTCCTGCACTGACTATCAAACCTTTCTCTCTCTGCAGTGGATCCAACTAAAACTACACCATCTACTGCAGTGGTCAGTGTACACACCAGACCAACCACTTCAACCACACATTCCTCTCAAAAACCTGATAGTAAGTACAGCACACTGACTGCTGCAGAACTGAAGATGTTACTGCTTTCTTTTATTTGGGGAAATTATTTATTATGTTCTCTAAACATTCTCTGAACTTTTTTTTTATTTTTTTTATTGAAAGACCCTTCCCAATAATAAGTTCCACTTTATTTGTTGTCTCTAAAGAAAAAAGATATTCTTATGTATTTTCACCCTGAAAGTCAAGAAAAATGCAGGGCTGTTCAAAATTTTGCATTTGAAAAAAAAACAGTACAAAGACAAGATATTTATTGTTTTATTTTACCAACCAAGTTTAAGAATAGAAACATTGTTAAATGTTCAAAAACTATCTCAATCAGGTGATGCAATCATTCTTGGATTTAAAAGGAGCATCCAGGAAAGGATGAGTCCTTAATGAGTAAGGGTGGGTCAAGGTTCACCATTTTGCTTTATAAAATTTCAGCAAAAAATCCAACCATTCAAAAATGATCTTCAGCAAGTTATGGCAAGAGTTTTAGACAATTCACCCTCTACAGTGCATAATATCCTGCCTTCCACCCAATGACAGCTGGGATAGGCTCCAGCACCCCACCATGACCCAGAAGGAGAAGTGGTTTAGATGATGTATGTATATGTATGTATGTATGTATGCTTTCTGGTTACCCCCCGTGACCCAGAAGGAGAAGTGGTTTAGATAATGTGTGTGCTTTCTGGTTTTTATTAACATTTCATGTTTTGTCCCAGATTTTTAGAATTGGGTTTGTACAGTAAAAGATGTTCATGTTACTGTGTATCTACAGTGAGCTGTTTACTGACTGCAACTGAACTTCACATTGTACAGTTTCTTTTTATTACGCTCCCTATGCAATTTTTAAATCAATCACATTTCATCAGCCTTTCTTTTTTGCATTTACATCTGAAGAGATCATTTTTATATGTGTTTTAATGCATAATTGATTAGTTTAACATTTTGCAGAATTAAACATAAGATGCGAAATGTATAAAAGTTCTATTTTCTTCCAATATGTTAAACTAAACTGTCTTATTTATGTTTGTTCTGTAAAGAGGATGTGATCATAATATTTACTCTTTGAACATCAAGAAAACATGCCATTTGACCAAGGGTGCCCAAACTTCTGCATACAACTGTATGTCTCGTTAGTGGTGTTTATTGCCTTGTGTCTCTGCATTCGCCCTGACATTCTTTTTACTTTCAACGTTACTGTTCAACTGGTTACTGTTCAACGTTTATTTATTTATTTGTTTATTTATTTATTTGTTTGTTTGTTTGTGATGGTGTCTGTCTTAAAGTTTGTGTATATGTGTGAACACTCAGCTTATTATTATTCACTCAGGAGCTCTTATACTAAAATTGTAGATGATTCAGTTTGAATATTGTCAGTGTGTCATTTGTAAATCTTAGACGTGAACATCGATTAGCTTAATATTGTTTAAATATTAATACTGTCATCTCAAAACTCAATTTAATCTGATCCAACTGGAAATTAACGTTTACAATAAAATGTTCATGTTCATGTTAGTGTGTATCTACAGTGAGCTGTTTACTGCTGTTCTGTTCCTGCACTGACTATTAAACCCTGCTGTTCCTACAGGGGTCACAACTAAAATTACAACATCTACTGCAGTGGACAGCAGAAAAGACAGTCCCACCAATTCAACCACAGATTCATCTCAAACACTTCATGGTAAGATCAGCACACTGACTGCAGCTGAAACATGATGTCACAGCTTTATGTTCTCTGATTTAAAAAAAAAAAAATAATAATCACAATCTGTCACTCTTTCTGAATATTCAGCTGTGTTGCACAGAGGAACATGAGACACATCATACAGTTAAAACAGTTAAAACTACAGTTAAAAATACAGTTAAAAATGTGACGCATTGTGTGAAATTGCAGTGCTCAAGCATACTGCTCTCTCTCTCTCTCTCTGTCTCTCTCTCTCTCTCTCTCTCTCTCTCTCTCTCGGGCACACACACACACACACACACACACACACACACATAGGTACAAATATGAAAACATTTGTTTCTTGATGCAGATTATTCCATATATTTCTTCTTCTTTATTCCTCTTCTTCTTCTCCTGCTGGGACTCGAAGGAGTCATCTACCGGACACACACACACACACACACACACACACACACACACACAGTTGAGGTATGTGTAGTATCTGTGTCTCACTCTGTATTGTTTCATTCTACAGGACAGAGACGAGGACAGACGGAGAGCCGAGAGCAAAGAAGAATGAAGAGAGAACAGAAAACACAGGTGAGTTCATACATCACAACATATCACATTCGATCACATTCCTTCCCATCTCATAACATCATATTCCATCATGTCCTACAACAACTAGTCATAATTTCCACATTCCATTATTGCACCTCTTATCCACTTCAGCAATAGAACACGAGAGGGAGTGTGTTATCACGAAATAACATCACGGCTGTGATTTGGTCACAGTAGATCATCACAGCCGTGATGTTATTCATGATAACACATGACCTCGAGTGTTCTATTGCTTTTATACAACAGTTAAATAAATAAAGTAAGAAATTAATAAACTGGGCCGTGAATATGGCGTTTAATATGTTTTAATGTTAGCAGTTCCTTCCGCCAAATTATAGTTCCTTAACAAGCAGCTTGTTGCTACATCAGACTAACGAGCTCCGCTCACTTGCTGCACAGCTGGCAGTTCGTTCTCCAGCTCCTTACCCTAAATTCCCAAACTGTCATCACCACTGAGCAGTTTTATAGCTCAGTCCGATTTGGTCAGACTCTGAAGATCAGACTACACATTTGGCAAATGGTATTTGGTTCATTTCTGGCTGATTCCAGGTTGTTTAGCTGTTCTTCTGTCTCAGCTGCCGACTGAAAAGCTGCTCAGTGGTGATGACAGTTTGGGAATTTAGTGTAGTCTCATCTTCAGAGTCTGACCAAATCGGCTGCTGGTCAAATGTGAACTTAAAAGTATCCATATTCTGTTTGTGACAAAGAAGTAAAAACGTTCAAATGGCTTGAGCTTTAAAACAGCTGTCAAAGTCGTTGCATAGCAACGGCGTCTTAGTGGAGTGATACAGTGTTTGTGAAAAACCTGTGATGTTATGGTGAAATAACAGCACGGTTATAACGCTTCTCAACCAATCAGCTTGCGTGGCTGGAACTAACAGTTGTATAAATTATACATATCACATTGTCTCCAACATATCCCATATGTCACATCCTATCACATCCTACAATATCCCAACATAGCAGAGGATCATTACTATCAGATTACTATCAGTCTAATAAATGGGTGTTGTGCTGTGCATTCTGAGCATGATTTCTACAAGATGCTGGAAAACTCAGCTGCATGCTCCTGAAAGGCTTTTGTGGCAAATCATGCCTTCAGACAGGACGCATTATTATACTGAATGACATGACGCAAAAGGAAAACTGGATTTGTTCGATTATCAACTTTATTTAATTCACAAATGGTCCATTTTGATGATCCTGTGTTCACTTTGTTGTTTTTGCTTCACATTATTGGTAGCTGATGATGGTCTTTGGTTGTTCTAGCCTGTTCGAGACAAAATCTGACCTGTTTTGTCCACATGATCAACACTCAATGAAAAAAATGTGTCCATGTTCAAATGAGCACTTAACTAATATAAGAAATGCTGGTCTGCCTGATTTACTCTTTACACTACAGTCATATGTTGTGCAGTGTGAGTGAATGTGAGTGAGTTTACCTAATAAACTGGCACTCACATTTTTAGTATAAATCAAGCAGTTAAAGTATTGAAAACTGCAGGAAAAATAGCTCAATAATATTGAATATCTATAAGATCAGGCCTCTGAAAATCCTCAGACTGAATCTCAAAGGGCTCACTGTTCCCTGTATAGTACTATGTGAGTTATAAAATGTTGGCTTTTACACTCAAATATTGCGCTTTATGTCCAGTATGAATTGTGCACAGATGGGTGAATCCACAGTGGCTCTCTGTTGGACAAACTGAGCTCTGTTTAGATGCAGTAGCTGTTATTTAAAGAACTACATAGGACATTTTGTAGGGAGAAGGGAGCCGTTTGAGATTCTGCCTAAAACAGTCCACAACAGTGTTGCATCACCTGACCTGAATGCTACTCAAGAACAGTGCTGGCATTTGACTGTTTCTGCTGTAAAACATGAATTTGAAATGCCTTGACAATGAACAATAATGGCTTTTGTGACAAAAAAATTCAGGTTTCAGAGTGCACTGTGTGTTAAGAATAACTCACCACTCAATAAAGAGAAATTATTAAACAAATGCATTTTATCTCACACCTGAATATCTTCTTTGCAGCCAAGTTGGTCACACAGCTATAAACAAAATGCTCTGTTCTGATTGGTCCTTGTATCTCAAGGAATTTTGAGCCCACCCTTTAGCATCAACCAGTAGCCCCAATTACTGCATTGATGTTTCTCCTCTTAGTCATAGCTTAGCACAGTGTATCCTAGCCTAGCCTCTGTTACTTGCTAGGCCCTGCTGTGCTCTGTCACACTTACAGCCTCCTTCCTAATGTCCATCTTTAGTCAGGTCTGGTTTGGTACAATGTTCAGTTCAACCTGATAATGTAAAAAGCAGTGTAAAATGTAAATGTAAAAAAGTTGACATATTTAGTTTTATAGCCTAGTTTTCTAAACTACAGTAAAACTGATAGGTGGGCTAATGACATTGTTTCTAACTCTGTTCTGGTTAAGTAATTTACTTAGTGGTTACCTTTCAGTTGAAAGCAGAGCTTGGAGACTCACCAAATGACTTTTTTACTACTTGGCAGTGCTTCAAGAATGGGAATCGAATCATTCAAATCTTTTATATCCAGCGTGATTGTGTTACCCACTGTGCCGTCCTGACGACAAAACAGCACTTTTGACCATCATTCAACTTTGAATCAAAGACAACTTTCAATTCGTTAAAATGTGCAGGACAGTGGTGCTCCAGGATCAAGGCTAAAAACACTAAACTCTTCAAATGTTTCATGTTTTCTGTGCATGAATCAAAGCATAATATTTATCTAGCATTATATTCTTAACCCATGCACACTGTCCAGGTCATAGTATTTACTAATATTGACATTTAAAGGTAGTGAACCCATCCTAAATATGAATCTTTAAACCTGAAATTTTATGACTTTTCCAAAAGTGACCCCAAAAGGTGCTGCATATTTTTGTACATAGGTTGTAGGGGTGCGGGAAAAAAAATGATTCTTAGATGCATCGCGATTCTGAATCGATGATTCTGAATCGATTCACAAATGTCAAAAATCGATTTTCGAAACATTTAATTTATAACGTAATGTTGACGGAACGCAAAAGGCGGAAGCTGGAAGTGGGTAAGTGCAGCGCCCGGACAGTCTGCGGCGGCACGTAACAAAAACACTACTGGATGAGCGAGAAATCCGACTGCAGCCTCTGCATTAAAAGCCAGGTTAGATCAGGAGTCACAACACAAATGATAAGAAGAGACATTTTGTCCTTTCAACCAAAATCAGATTACCTTGGCAGCCGCAACATTTATGTCCAGTATGTGTGAATGTCCTAGTATAAGTTAGGTTAAAAATATAAACAAAAACACGGACTTACTTTGCTCTGCTTTAAGCTTTAGCTATAGCCACTTCTGAATTTACAATCTGAATTTACACTTTTCATGAACATGCATGAACTAGAATTTGAAAAACTACAGAAAAACACAAACATCACATGAAATATTCAAAGTCATTGGCCATTTTATCAGAAACACATACTGTACAGGTGCACTTTGCAGGTTTACAGATTCAGACTGTAACCCATCTGATGCTCCACAATTTATAATCCCCCCTCTAACCTGTCAATGGAAACAAACCTCCTACTACAACTAGTAGGTGGTCCATACTGTAAAAGGTTAAACAATAAATAGTATTTAAGGGTTAAGCAAACTATGTTCATCTGTGAATATTTTGACTGAAATATAATTTCTGGTTCAGCGTCAATGTGTCAGAACAGATTAGCATGAAGCATTTAAGTCAGATTTGAAGCATCAGTTCTTTTCCACTCCGAAACAAGATTAATGGGGTGATGAGTTTGATTGTGCAGTTAATTGAGAAATAGCACCATTTTCAGTTTCATATAAACTGTGGTTATTTCTGTTCTAAGCCATAGGAGCCTCTCTCTGTGGAAGCCCTTCAATCGCTCAGTCCTGCAGGAGAGGGCCGAACAGAGGCAACAGATCAAAGGCACAAACCAGCATGAGGCCACAAGTGCCTGTCACTCATTTAACTCTAATGAACTCCATCTTAGGGGAAAAGCTCCTACAGAGATAAGAGTTATTGTCCCAGGGACAAAATATGGCAACAGCCGTGTTTTTGATGTGTGACCACATTGTTCTCACTGTTATGTCACTGAAGTTGAGTGTTTTTTTTTTTCTCTTTTCGAATGCCTTGATAATGTAACTTCAAATAGGTCCCAGGACTAATACACTCAAATGATGATAAATAATTAAGAAAAGTGTTTATGTTTAATCTACATTCTCTCTCAGAATTCACTTCTGACTGCCCCCCAATGCCAAGTAAAAAGCCCACCAGCTTCGGGCTGTGGAACAGTGGAACCAGACACTGTGAGTTGTTCAAACTTTAATCAATTGAGTAGAATACCAAATCTGCTTCATTATAGAAATTTCTATCCATTGTTGCACGAGGCTTCTGCATTTTACGAAGCATTGTATCTATTTTTTTCCCCTCTTATCTAGTCAGTCACTGTCCATGGTTCTGAGTCTGCATCCTCCAGCTGAGCTTCAGCACCAGTGTTGTGGATAGCAATTTGATCATGGCAGGTAGAAACAAGCTAGCTGCTCTCTGTCTCAGTGGAAAAAGAAGCTCACTGTGAGATGAATGGAACATGACACTCTTCTCTATGAGTTAACCTTTTAACCATTAACCTGTGTTAACTAACTAACTTGTCAAGTTGGTGAAACCTGTTTAAATGGAGTGCTGGCAGCACCTGGTCTTATACGAATTGTTGCATAGCATTTGTACAACTGAAATAAAAAATGTCACTAGAAAAAGGTTTTATCTTTGGTTGTTTTTGATGTTGGTAGAAAGCCACTTATGTATCACTACTAAAAGAAATGTGTTAAAACAACACAGTTTTCCTTAACTAGACACAATATTGTGCTCAGAAATGTCATATTTTTGTGACTTTTGTATTAAAGCAACACAAATGTGTTAATGCAGGTAACACAAGTAGTTGTGCTGTAATTTAACACATCCCTTTTTACAGTGCAGTCAGATAGTAAGTTTTTCCAGTGAGATAAAATAATGAAGTGTTATTAGTTTTAGGCAACATTGACAGCTGGGTGGAGGATTCATCACACTGGTATATGATGTGTTGTGTGCCTAGTGCTATGTGTACAGTGTAACAGGAGATGTGTTAAATTACATGAAGCTAGTTGTGTTACCTGTTTTAACACATTTAACACATTTTGTGTTAAAAGTAAGTCCTTAAATGAGCACATTTTTTTTCAATCATTTTGAATTGTTTGAATAGTCTCTTGCACTAAAAAGTGGGAATTTTGTTGAAAAAGTAAAACACTGAGTACATATAAACTGATTTCATGTTGTATTGGTATAAATACGTTTTATATATAAATTGAGAAATATGAAAATGCAGGATTAAAGCCGGTCTCGACTAGCACCTCTTATGGCTTATTTACATACACTATATTGCGCCAAAAGCATGTGGACAATTTATTATCACACCTACATGATCTAGCTGAGCATCCCATTCTAAAACCTTGTGCATTAAGATGGAGACCCCCCCACACACACCCCATTTACAAGTCAAACAGCCTCCAATCTTCTTCCAGTAAGGCTTTCCACAAGATTTTAGAGGATGTATGTTTGAATTTGTGCCCATTTGTGAAAAAAGAGCATTTGTGAGGTCAGACACTGATTTTGGACAGAAAGGCTTGGATCACAGTCGACTATTCAGTTCATCCCCAAAAATATTCATTGGGGATGAGGTCAGGGTTCTGAGCAGGCCACTCATGCTTATGGATCCTGTTTTGTGTACAGAGGCACAAGAAACAGTTCCTGGAAGAAGAAAGAAACTTCTCCAAACTGTTACTACAAATTTGTAAGCATTAACTGTCTAACATGTTTTTGTAGGCTGTAGCATTAATATTACCCTTCATGGAACTGCATTACAGTGGGTATCAGGTAATTCAGGTAAAACAAAAAGTATGATAAAAGAGAAGAAAATGTCAAGCAAGTGTAGAATGTGAGAATTCTGTGTTTTTGTCATATTTGGGTTCAGTTTGACCCCTTTCAGTGTTTAATTTTTATCTTTAAATACACTATATTTCCAAAAGTATTCACTCATCTGCCTTCACATACATATGAAATTGATGGGGTTTAATATGATCTCGGCCCACCCTTTGCAGCTATAACAGCTTCAGCTCTTCTGGGAAGGCTTTCCACAAGGTTTAGGAGTGTGTTTATGGGAACTGTTGACCATTCTTCCAGAAGCGCATTTGTGAGGTCAGACATTCATGTTGGTCGAGAAGGCCTGGCTCACAGACTCTGCTCTAATTCCTCCCAAAGGTGTTCTATCAGGTTGAGGTCAGGACTCTGTGCAGGCCAGTCAAGTTCTTCCATGGACCTTGCTTTGTGCACTGGTGCACAGTCATGTTGGAACAGGAAGAGGCCATCCCCAAAATATTCCCACAAAGTTGGGAGCATGAAATTGTCCAAAATCTCTTGGTCTGCTGAAGCATTAAGAGTTTCTTTCACTGGAACTAAGGGGCCGAGCCCAACTCCTGAAAAACAACCCCACATCATAATCCCCCCTCCACCAAACTTTACACTTGGCACAATGCAGTCAGACAAGTACCGTTCTCCTGGCAACTGCCAAACCCAGACTCGTCCATCGGATTGCCAGACGGAGAAGCGTGATTCGTCACTCCAGAGAACATGTCTCCACTGCTCTAGAGTCCAGTGGCGGCGCTTTACACCACTGCATTCGACGCTTTGCATTGCGCTTGGTGATGTAAAGCTTGGATGCAGCTGCTCAGTCATGGAAACCCATTCCATGAAGCTCTCTACGCTGTTCTTGAGCTAATCTGAAGGCCAAATGAAGTTTGGAGGTCTGTAGTGATTGACTCTGCAGAAAGTTGGTGACCTCTGCGCACTCTGCGCCTCAGCATCCGCTGACCACGCACTGTCATTTTACGTGGCCTACCACTTCGTGGCTGAGTTGCTGTCGTTCCCAATTGCTTCCACTTTGTTATAATACCACTGAGAGTTGACTGTGGAATATTTAGTAGTGAGGAAATTTCACGACTGGACTTGTTGCGCAGGTGGCATCCAATCACTGTACCACGCTGGAATTCACTGAGCTCCTGAGAGCGACACATTCTTTCACTAATGTTTGTAGAAGCAGTCTGCATGCCTAGGTGCTTGGTTTTATACACTTGTGGCCATGGAAGTGATTGGAACACCTGAATTCAATGATTTGGATGGATGAGTGAATACTTTTGGCAATATAGTTTATATTCAAAATCTATCTTCAAAAAACTGTCCTCTGCTTTAGGGCCCTAACTTAACATAACAATACCTGTTGTAGTGTGAGAACCACTGGAACAAACACCCTGCAACACTTCTGGCTGTGACTCTGCGCATCCCAGGGACTTTGTTTTGTCTATGTGGGTCGTTGGGACAGCTGACCCTTGAAGAGAGAGCTATGTCATGTAATAGGTAGAGTGAATGTATAAGGGGTGGTGAGGAGTATGGTGTGTTTAAAGGGCTAGTTAGGTAGGAAACAAAGAAACATGAAGGATCTGATACATAAAATGAGACTTTGACAGATGACTGTAACCAAGAGAAGTAAGGAGGTTCAGCTGTAAATAATCATTGGGTGTTTGCCATCTTTCCATAAGAAGCACCATGTCTGGATTATGGGATGATCACAGAGAAACATCTCATTATTAAGCACCGACAATTTAACAAAGCAAACAACAACAGTGAATTAATATGTTGTGAACTCTGTCTCTAGTGAGAATTTTCAGCAACTGGAAAATTCAAACAGTGCTCTAACCAGTTGGACTGAGTTGATGAAAGAGCAGATGTCAAACAATAATAGTTCAGGTCGTGTCTAGAAGAGCAGTGAATGTGTTTTGGGCAACATACAATTCCAAGTGTTTTGAAATAATCACATATTACAGAATCAAGACGAGGCCTAGAATTAAAGCCATGAAGCTGTGATGGTTTATACCTCAACAACATATCCAAGACAAAGCTAGCAAATATCACCAATATAAACACTCTGATGAAGCCACTGAATCCAATTACAGCCACATACATAGTTATTCATGAGATATCCAAGTTCACATAAGCTGCACTTCACTGAACTGCGATGCTGTGTAGCTACCACAGACCAAAGCCCTGACAGGCCAACACCTAGCAGAAGAATGAGAGGGGAGAGGTGACTCACCATTCAAAAGACTGTTGGACACAGGTAGTTGAAAGGGTGGACACTTACTCACCAACTATGCTGATAAGGTGTATATCTCATCAGGGTAGGCTAGACGAGCAGCAGATAGGGGAAAAAGTAGCAGTGGAGTGCAGCAATAGTGGCCTCCTGCAGCGTCTGAGGCTCTGGATTATGTGCGTCTGAGGAGAAATGACAAAATAGAAACTCCAAAGTTCAAAAGATTAATTCAACACTGTCCAATTCAAAGTAGTCAAGAAGCAAAGGCAGGAAAACTCTCCAGTGAGAAGTGGCAACCAGACACACTCAAACTTCTTATACAGGAAGTGAGATATTATCATGCATGTGTAAATAAAGCACTCTGGCTCACTCATGCAGGTGTTTATGTCTGTGAGGCCCCATCAGGTTTCCTGTCAGTGTGGCTTCACCCACCGAATCATAGCGTCATTTAGTACTATTATAGCTACTGGAAAATAGAGATGTAGACCACATAGATGTTTCAGCAGCATGAGTTCACATCTCATTACCATAAAAAGGGCCAGAGAAAACAACTAGTGAGACCACAGAAAGGAGAGCTGATAGATTAAAATAAACAAAAGATTATGGACTCCAACAACAAATCAGCATAACACTGCTAAGAAATGGCCACACATACACATATAGACGTGTGTGTGCATGTATTTGTGTATCTATCTATCTATCTATATACATAAGTCAATTCTTGTAATTTCTGACTAGGAAGATCATCTCTGCTAAATAAACCAGCATATGTTGTGTTTTGGATGCTGCTCTGCTGGCAAAAAACAATAGAATAAAATGCTGGTCACCAGCAAAACCAGCATATGTGCTGTTTTGCATGTTGGTATGCTGATCAACCAGCATGACCATAGTGGGTGATTAGTTAACACAGAATCATCCAGCAACAGGTCAGTATAAACCAGCATGAACCAGCTTTGACCAACATGGAATACATATTAGTCTATGGGTCTTTTTTTCTGCAAGGATGTGAATGCACTAGAGAGGTGTCTTTATTTGGCTATTTCTTGTATCCAATTGGGTGAACTGCAAAAAAGGAAACGGTCAGTGTTCTCATGACTCAGAGGCCACCATGTCACTTTGTGTGGTTTGTGATTCTGAAGAAGCTGCTGATAAAATCTCTAAAAGACAGAAGAGTTCCGGTCTAGCTGATTTAAACACAGCTCCTGTGAGCTGCACGGACATTAGAGTGGGTTAGACTCCAGTGAAGAGCTGCTGAGAGAGCTGTGTACTCAGTGTGGTATACAGGGCTAGTGTAGTGCTGGGTGTGGAGCTGTCAGTGTGCTGTGAACTCAGTGTTGTTTTACTAGTGAGAATGTTGCTGACTTTTTATCTTCTCTTCATTGGGCTACATGTCTCTGAAGGTGAGTGTATTTTTTATCTTATTATCTGAGTTACTGATGTGCAAATCTAAATTTATTTGCCAGTTAAGAATTACAATTAGCACAAGCTCAATTTTGACATTAAACACATCATATACTCCATTACATAATGAGCAAATGGCGATGGTTCAGGGCAGTGAGCAGATTAAACTGATAGACTGATGTAGAACTGGAGGAAGGGTGGGAGAACTGGTGAGTGTGGGGTGACCGGCAGGAGAAAACTGATTGGGGCAAAACAGAATTTAATCGAGACTCTCCTACTGACGAGGGTGTAATACTTACAAGCGCAAACAGACAAACAAACAGCACAACAGCCCAGTATTTAGGCTGGACTAATCTTACCTCAGACAGAGAACATGGACGGTACAAAACCTACACTGAGCTGTACCTGAGGTCTAGTCTAACTACCAAACACAGAAAGCAAAAAGAAAGACAGAGACATAGAGAGAGAGAGAGAGAAAGAGAGAGAGAGAGCACTAACTAACAATACACCAATACACCCCACAGAATTAACAACACTACCGAACTATAGCATCAAACAGACGAGAGTAAAACCAACTTCAGTTTGAGCCAATCATCAAACAAACACGTGACCACGTGGGAACCGAGTGAGCCGGTAACGACAACCACTGTTGTGGTTGCCAAGGTTGTTTGATTTTTGTTGAAAGGACAAAATGGCTCTTCTTATCATTTGTGTTGTGACTCCTGATCTAACCTGGCTTTTAATGCAGAGGGAGCCGGTCGGTTTTCTCACTCATCCAGTAGTGTTTTTGTTACGTGCCGCCGCAGACTGTCCGGGCGCTGCACTTCCACACTTCCAGCTTCCGCCTTTTGCGTTCCGTCAACATTATGTTATAAATTAAATATTTAGAAAATCAATTTTGACATGTGTGAATCGATTCAGAATCGTTCACATCCTCATCGCGATGCATCTAAGAATAAATTTTTTCCTGAACCCCTAATATATATATATATATATATATATATATATATATAGAGAGAGAGAGAGAGAGAGAGAGATAGTTTTCCTTTTTTGTAAAGAAGATTTAATATTTTGATTTATGTCAAAAATGTATAATCATCCTAAGCTGTAGGTTGACGTTCAACATTTTAAATATAAAGAAACTGTAATCACGATCTCATACAAAGAGTAGATAATTAATCTGATCTTACTGATGTGTGTTTCTGCAGGCTGCACTCTGGAGAACAGAAAACAACTACTGAATATCACAGCTCATACAGGAGGGTCAGTACTGCTGCCCTGCTACTGCACTGACCTACACACCACACCTGAGGGATTCAGCTGGAAGAAATACAACAGAAACAGAAGGGAAGAGATATCTAGTGAGGGTGGAGACAACAGAAACACAACAAACTGGGAAGACATATCCAGGGAGAGTGGTCAGTACAGAAACAGAGTTCAGCTGGTTAATGGTCACTCTCCAGGAAATCTCTCTCTACTCATATCACACCTGACTGAAGAGGATGAAGGAGATTACTACTGTGAAGTTAAAGGTTCTGTTTTAAACATCAGACTGACTGTAAAAGGTAAAACTATGTTTCAGTTTTCATTTATAAAGAATTTTAAATCTTATAATTAAATATATCTGCATAGAAAACTGACTGAGTTTTTAAACATTCCACTCCTCATCACTCTTCACCAACAGTCATGAGCAAAAATATGTACACTCCATTCAAACAACAGGTTTTGTTGATTTTCTAAGTGAACATAAGTTAAAACATCCTCTACAGAGGACACAGTTAATGTAAACTTATTTTTTGTCTGAACTGATCATATTGCAGAACATAAATTATGGCCTGTGTAAAAGATATAGCACATTTTATATGTATATTTTATTTCTTTTCCATATTTTAAACTAAAATTACCCAAAAACGCTGTATTCATTCATTCATTCATTCATTCATTCATTCATTCATTCATTCATTTATTTGCTTCTGTGTAGAAGTAGTTTTTAAACACTTTTTAAACATTCCACCTCCTCATTCACCTACAGTCATTTGCAAAATGTGTACCTTCAATTTAAATGATATGTTTTGTAGGTTTGTAGATTTTCTGAGGGAAAATAAGGTTAAACGTCTCTACAGAGTTTACATTTACTGTAAAGACACTTTTTTTCTGAATTCAACATATTAGGAGAAATAATGAAAAAAAAAAACATATCTAAGTTTGTTCTGTGTAGAGGGTGTTATCACTCATTTTTATTATGAAAATCAATCATGTCATTTGACCAGGTGTTCAAACTTTCCATATGTCTGTGTGTCTTGTTAGTTCTGTTTATTATCTTGTGTCTCTGCATGAGCTTCAGTCTGTTTACTGTGAAACTAAATCAGAAACACAAGATAATAAACAGAGCTAATAAAACATGCAGTCGTATGCAAAAGTTTCAACAACACTGTGTTTAATTTACACTTACAGTAAAACATTTATTTATTTATTTATTTACTTACTTACTTACTTACTTACTTACTTACTTCTTTGATGAACTGCCTGTCCAAAAATTCACACTTGTGGTTTATGTTCATGTTCATGTGCTTTCTGAAAAATCTAGGTGTGACCCCCCGTGTCTATAAATGTGCAATAACACACTGTGAATAACCACTTTATATACACAATAAACACATGATATTCTGAATAATGCACTGAAGCAGTATTAACAGGGGAGAGAGAGAGTGTGTTACGGTCAAAGCATGAGAAAAAGAAAGCGTGTTTAAAAATGCAAGGGAGAAAATACATGAGTGCTTGTAATTTCTGTATATTTCTATAAAATTTCAGGGTGACTTCACAACAAATAGTGAGTTAACAGAACAGAAAATCCTCTTAACTCATTACTTGAAGTATATTCAAGTTTTAAGGCTGCCAGGTTACTTACATACTTACAAGTCCAAATCAGTTTTTACAGTGAACTTAAACAATCACTCATATTAATCCTGATACTGTAGGTAAAAAATGTTTATCCAATATTCTGTTGGGCTCTGTTTGGGCTGCAGATCTCTAACAGTGTTTATCAGGACACAACATCACCCTGATGGGATGCTGAGTTTTAGCACTATCTTTCATATTTAAAATATTGTTTATGGTTTGGTTTTAGAAGAGTTTTACTAAATGACTATTTCACTTTTAAAATATATAAAACTGTAGATAAAATGTTCCTCTGTTAGAAGAGAGGAGCGTGTAGAATAGACTGATGTGGAGAGAGAGGAATATCTTTATTATTTATTTATTTGTTTGTTTGTTTGTTTGTTATTGGTTATTTTATGGTTTTGTTTATGAGACATGTCAGTCAACATTTCTGAGTCCATGTCCATGTTGTTGATGGGTAAATCCTCACATTAAATAAAAAATGAGCAGATTTTACAGGTTCATTTAAAAACACTGCTGGGGGCTGAAATCCCAAAACTCTTCTACAATGAACCGGGCTGAGCCTCAGATCTTTACACACCCAGCCAACAGCCCTGAGTATTAGTCAGAGTATGTGTCACTCAGCTCAGTGTGTTAGTGAAAATCAGAGATAACAAGGAAGAAAGTTAACACACTTACACACACTTGCACCGGCCACCTAACCCCACTCCTCAGTCGTTTATTATTTTTGATTACTACCTTGGTTATAATTGTTAAAATTGCTACAAGTTGTAAAAGTTGAATGTCTTGCTTTTTTGTGTTTTTGTTTTTTATCTAACTGTATAATAAAGGTGTGTGGGGGGGTGTTATTAAGACCCATCCAAACACAGATTTTAACTCTTAACTTCCTTGGTTTTCATATAAGAATAGTCATTTTTTTTCTTTTTTTAAAATTATTTTATGTGTGTATATGTGTGGATCTTGTCTCCTTTTATGTGCCTTTTTGCTCCTATTAATTTTATTATTATTCTTTATTATATGTATTTTTTCTTTCGTTTTGTTTGTTTTCTTTAATGTTTTGAATAACTTTGTAGCTTTTCTTGTAATGTTTCAACAGAATTCAGACGCTTGCGGTTAAAGAACAAAAAGGAGGCTTTACTAGTGAAGTCAGAGTCCAAGGTCGTAGTCGAAAATCAGGCAGGGTTCAAATCCAGAAGACACAGCAGACACAAACAAACAAACATATCACTCTTGTGACAATCCAAAAAGGGGTAGGCAGAAGACGTATTACAAAAACAAGCAAAAAAAGGTCAAAAACAGTAATCGGAGGTCCAGGGAAACAATCCCAAGGGCAGATGAAAAGGCAGAGTCAGAGAAACAAAAAGTACAGGTCATTCACAGAAATACACAACAGAAATAACACTCAGTAGTTCGCAAACAGAAACAATACCTCACAACTTTCTAGGACTAAAGCCCAGGCTTATAAGCTAAACTAAGAAGGTCATATGATCAACTACACAGGTGTCACACATCAGTATTCTGCTGATCTAGAGTGCTGATAGGACCGTGAGGAAAAGTCAGGAGTCAGGTGATCTCCCAGAGGATTCTGGAAGATGGAGTCCGTGTGAGTTTCCAAGTTCAAAGGAAGTGTAGAAGTCATGTGATCTCCCACAGGAATCTGGGAGATCGAGTCCAGATCCTTGCTAGGACTTCACGGATTTGTGACATTTCTCTGGAAAAATGCTACAAAAATACAAACATACTCTATTAATTTATGTGTCAGTCAAAAATGGCAGTTAGTACGAGTTCAAGTTTTGACATTGAACATGTAACATAATCAAATACAGCATTATATATTCATGCCTTTACTGTCAAAAAAAGGAAACTTTACAGGAGAAACAAAAATATTCTTTTACTTTTTATGTAAGTTATTAATTATTAATTTTTCCCATGACATTTCAGACCATTTCTTTGGTCCACCTGTTATGGAATTCTGAGAAAATATAAAGAAAAGCTGCTGTGAGCAAATAATGCTGAAAAATAAAAACTGAAAAGGAAATTGTGATACATGGAGGGGTTTTTGGACAGCAACAATGTGCATCTGATGTAGATATTATGTTTTATGTATTATGTTATTTTTGTTTGTTTGTTTGTTTGTTTTTTCCATTTTCTATAAACAAGATTTGATATTTTGATTGATATCATTAAGTGACAATCAGCCAGAAACTCATGATGTCATACAAAGAGTATATAATTAATCTGATCTGATTGATATGTGTTTCTGCAGGCTGCACTCTGGTGAACAGAGAGCAACTACTGAATATCACAGCTCATACAGGAGGGTCAGTACTGCTGCCCTGTTACTGCACTGACCAACGCAAAAAATCTGGGAGATTCAGCTGGAAGAAAGACAACAGAAACACAACAAACTGGGAAGAGATATCCAGTGAGAGTGGTCAGTACAGAAACAGAGTTCAGCTGGTTAATGGTCACTCTCCAGGAAATCTCTCACTACGCATATCACATCTGACTGAAGAGGATGATGGATTTTACATCTGTGCTGTTAAAGGTTCACATTTAATAATCAGACTGACTGTACAAGGTAAAACGCTGTCTCAGTTTGTATTTATAAAGAATTTCAACTCTTATAATTAAATGTATCTAAAAGTGAATTATGAGTTGTAAACATCCACTCCTCTTCACTCTTCATCTACAGTCATGTGCAGAATTGTGTACCTGTCATTCAAATGACAGATTTGTTGATTTACTCAGTGTAACTTAAAATATCCTTTACAGAGAGCAAACTTAATGTAAAATAACTTTTTTTCTGAATTTAATATGTTGGGAGAAAAACTTCAACATAAAATATAGCCGGTGTAAAAGCTGAGGCACATATTATATTTTATATTTTATTTCTTTTCCATATTAATATGAATTTTCATTAAACTGGTCACTTAGCAGAAAAAATGCCATATTTATTTTTTGTGTAGAGGATGTTTTCACTTATTTCCACTTTGAAAATCAGCAAATCAGGTCATTTGACCAGAGATGATTAAACTTTTCCATATGACTGTTTGTCTTGTCAGTGTTGTTTATTATGTTGTGTCTCTGCATGAGCTTCACTCTGTTTACTGTGAAGCTCAATCAGAGACACAAGATGATAAACAGAGCTAATAAAACACACTGTCATATATAAGAGTTTGAACATCTCTGTTCAAAGTGTTTAATCTACACTTACTGTAAAACGTTCAGTCCTTTATTTATTTATTTGTTTGTTTTATCACTGATGTGATGAACTGCTTGTCTAAATGTTCACACTTGTGGTTTGTGTTCGTGTTCATGTGCTTTCTGAAAAATCTAGGTGTGACGCCCCCTGTTTCTATAAACGTGCAATAACACACTGTGACTAACCATAATAAATACATAATAATCACGTGATTTTCAGAGTAATGCATTGAAGCAGTGTTAGTCAAAGTATGTGTCACTCAGCTCAAAGTGTTAGTGAAAATCAGAAACAACAGGGAAGAAAATTAACAAGAACACTTTCTGTTACACAAACAAACTGTACAGATACACACTCACAGTATTAACATGTGTTTGATTTGTAGTCAGTATCAGTATCATTAATAATCTCATTAATATTAATAAATAAAGAAAATTATACTAAAAAAAAAAGGATGCGCTCCAGAGTCCTTATCGTCTGGTCATCTAGATCATCTGGCCTCCAAAAACCCTCTTCTTCTGGCCATTAGACTGTCACTTCACTGCATATATAAAATTCAAATTTACAAACACTTGAGTAGTGATCATTTTATTCCATGTTTAATGTAAATGATGTGTGTATGAGGGTAAATTGTGGTGAGGTTACAGAATGACCTTACAGAAAGTGACCACACAGACATCAGACTCACTGTTGAAGGTAAAACATTATTTGAATATGTATTTATACTGTCATCTCAACACTAAACAAAGCTATTTTTAATGTGATCCAGCTGGACATTCTTTCATTAGGTATTTATTACAGACGTCTCTGCTGTTCAGCTTTATTCTCCTTCTGTAGTCACAGTGAACTGATATCTAAAGATTAACATTTATACATTTTAGAAATTTTTGAAAGTCTTTGAAAACATCAGTTGATCACAGTTTCTGATTTATATCTTGTTTCCTTTTTACATTTACACCACTACACACAGGAGGACAGGAGAAACATTTCAAAGTGTGAAAATGTTATTAATTGTGTGATTTTGCTGTATTTTAACACATTCTACGTGTTTTAAATTGTCCTTGACACAGATTATACACTGTCAATGTTTTTCTTCACTGTTCACATAAAGTTTATGCTGAAGTTTGTGCACCTTAGTCAAATGATTTTTTGTTAATGTAAAAAGTTAAAATAAGTTAACATCCTCTACAGAGAACACGTCTGCACATTTTAATGCACACTAAATGCACAATACTGATTATTTACTACTAAAGCCCTGAAGATGATACTGAAGCCTATGATAGAGCCTTCCTTACTCTGTGTTCCACTTCATTTATTTTCCTTGCCTGTACAGGGAGATTCACTCAAAAGAGGCCCCGAATATTCTGCTGTAACTCACGTTAGTATGAAGCAATCTGAACCAAAAAAATACGCTACATACCTTGACATGTGTAATCGATTGCATTACATGAGTGATCTACATTTTCTGCCAGACACATGAAGGGGTACGGGGGTCTGCACCCGGAAGTTGCAAATGTTGCGTTGGCTGTCCAGCGCCTACCTCATCACGGCTTGTTTGAAGCTCCATATACTGAGAAGCACATTGCACATTGTTTCGTTCAGATTGCTTTGTCCTAGTGAGAGTTATTACAGAATATTCAGGGCCTCTTTCAAGTGTATCTCCCTGTGTATCATAACAGAAACAGCCAAAGAAAGATTTATAGCATTACATGGAAAGTCTCAGCCATCAAAAACCTCAAAAACACAGCTTTCTCTCTCAGTTTTTTTCTGATTACTGTATGAACAAAAAATGAGCAAGTAAATAAATAAATGAATAGATACATAAAAATACTGTTACATCAGCTTTGACCAGAAGGGGCAGCTGTTTTTTCCCCTTTCCCTGACTAGGTTAAAAAAAAACAAAAAAAAAAAAAAAAACTTGGATTAGCATACTAACTATTATTAGCCAGTTAGCGTAACTTTTATGTTCTTCAAGGCACATTTCAGTAGTGGAAAACCATGTGACACATAAATGCAGGTGCATTTTTATTAATGTATGTATTTATTTATTTATTTTTTATCGTATCTTTCTGGGCTTATATTAATTTACTATAACTATTAAAAATGTGGTCCATGAAAAAGTTATGACATATTTTATATTTCATGTTTTTTTTTTTCTTTCTGTATATTAAAATCCAACCGTAAGTTTGTTCTGTGTAGAAGACGCATTCACTTATTATCACTTCAATAAACAAGAAAGAATGTTTTTTACAGGGCTGTTCAAAATTTTGCATATGATCATCATTAGCTGTGTTTGTTACCTAGTGTCCCTACATTAACTTCACCTCATCAGTCTTTTCACTGTTTATTGGTAAACATTTACTGCATGTTTTTATTCAGTTAGTTATTTATATTTATTTAGTTACTTATTTAGTTAGTTATTTAGTTGGTTACTTATTCACTGCTGTGATGAACAGCCTGTCTCAAAGGTCAGTCCTCTGGTTTTTTGTACTTGTTTGCATGTTCATGTGATTTTCAGGAAATGTCCAAGTGTGTCCCATTGAAATGTGCAGAATCACTCCAAAACCACTCCAAACCCAGAATAAACAAATTATACACTGATGAGCTGAAACATTATGACCACTCACAAATGAAGCGAAGGACACTGATTATCTCACAAAAATTATGCATGTCAAAATCTGGGATAAGTTAGAAGATAAATGAACAGTTTGTTTTCGTAGTCGACATGTTGGATGTAGGAGAAACAGGCAGGTATGAAGACTTGAGTAACTTTAACAAATGTTGAATCGTTATGGTCAGATGACTGGGTCAGGCAGTCAGATAGTGGTGAGTACCTACTGACAGTGGTCAGAGGTAGCTGCAGACCAGTCAGAGAGCCCATGCTAATCCCTGTCCATCATTGAAATGACCTAAAATGAGCATTAGAACTGGAGCTAATAGCAATTTAAGAAGGTCATCTGGTCCAATGAGTCATTTACCAGGATGCACTGCGTGAAGAAGACAAGCTGGTGGAGAGAGTGTGATGTTCTGGCTAATGTTCTGTCTAGTAGTCTTAGGTAGCTGGAGACCTGTCAGAGGTCCCATGCTAATCCCTGTCCATTGTAGAAAGCACCTAAATTGAATATGGGAACTGGAGCTAGTAGCAATGGAAGAAGCTCATCTGGTCCAATGAGTCCCGTTTACGTTTACATCATGTGGACAGTCATTTACCAGCGTGGTTAATGGTAAACACAGCTCAGAGTAAACAGGAAAACTGTCACTAACACACTCTTATTGCATTTAGGACGTCTGTAGAGATGAAGATATTGATCATACCGTACATCTGAGTTTGGTTCTGCAGAGAAATCATCCACCTCATTTTTTGATCAACATCTATAAATGAACATACATAATGGTTATTAAAGACTTAGTGCTGTTAGATAAAATGAATAATATGATCCATTACTTGTTGCAGAACCTCCACAGTCTCTGCCCTTCATCCCCTTTGCCTTGGTCACTGTGATCTTTCTCCACATTATAGTAGCTGTGGTTTATCACACCAAGAGAAACAAAGGTACAAACTACACATTCAAGCTGTTCTAATAAAACAAGTTTACTTGTAAATGTTAATTTATGCAGTGTTTTGTCTCTATATCTGTCAGATCCTGCCAGAGTTCACTACAGCACTGCTGATGGAGATGGAGTGGTCAGTCTGGAGTAGTGCAGTCCAACAACACCAGCATGAATTCACCATTTGGCAGCCAAATATTTAAGATTTTTTTTTTCCCTTTTTTAATTGTCATTTATTTGAAATATTAAAAGCGAAGTGGTTATTTTGCCTTATCTGACAGAGTGAGCTAAAATTTGCCAGTTTGCTTCTTTGTCAGCAGCTTCCTTTGGCGTCACCAAAAATTGATGGATGTTAAGCGATATGAATTCTTCTTCTTCTTCTTCTTTTTCTTCTTATTTTTATTATTATTATTGTTATTATTATTATTATTATTATTGTTATTATTTATTATTTTTAAGTTGTATTGTTGATATCATTGCCAAGAAATCAATAAATTACACAGATATTCTAATTATTCTGCTTCATATATTCATATTATTTGTTATATATATAGTTCAACGGACTGTCAAATTACCACCATCTCCATACAGAAGATCTTCATGATGTTTTTGTTTGGCTGTAAGTTCAGCAAATAAGAAAGTTAATTTTCTTCATCTGATTTGTTTCCTGTTCACAATGTCCAGAAGTTGTTTTTGAAAACAGGCTGAAATCAGACCTGTATCACCATCTCATTAATATTCACTAATGAGTTAATGAGGCCACACTGTCAGTTAATGTGTGTTGAGGAGTAACTGCCAAACTGCACAAAAAGGAAAGAGATCACGAAACTTCCACTGAAGTTCTGAACAGCTCAACCAAATGTAGAATGTGAAAATCATTAAATGTGTGTGTTAATTTTATTTTAATTAGCATAATATACTGACTGGTGTTTCTTGAGCTGGTATGTATTTTATTAAACTACACTTGATGCAGATCTGGGGATCCTCATTACCTGTGATAGCTGGTGCATTGTGAGTGGACAGGAGCAACAAAGTGGACAGTTAAATATCAAACATGTTTGACAATATCAGAGAGTATCAGATCACCTCGATCAGAAGGCTGAAGGTTCACTCGTTTCTCCTCACATGTTGCCAGATCATCCACCCCAACAATTGCTTCCGATTGAGCTCCCGACCTGGAAAATTGTTTCAGACTGTGAATCGTTGTCGAAATGGGCAAATCAGAGTTGAAACTGGGATAAATCTGTGTAGTGTATTTCCGGCCTTAGAATGCAGTGATTCAAGTATGGTTTGGTGGGATTAAATGTGTAATACACAGTGCTTACACAATGCTTATATATATATATATATATATATATATATATATATATATATATATATATATATATATATATATAGCACCCTGTGTTATTTTACTTCATAACTGCTGTGATAAACAGTCTGTCCTAAAGTTCACACTTGTAGTTTTGTGTGTGTGTGTGCTTGTGTGAATGTTCATTGTTATTATTACATAGACACTCACATTATGTAAACCACTTATCCTCCTAGGTTGTGATGGGAGCTGGAGCTTATCCCATTGGTCGTTGGGTGGAAGGCAAGAAATCCTGGACAGTTTGCCAGTCCATCGCAGGGCAGACACTCACACATACACACTCACACACACACATTCACACCTAGGGACAATTTAGCACACCTAGTCCAATTGGCCTGACTGCATGTCTTTGGACTGTGGGAGGAAACTGGAGCACCTGGAGGAAACCCACACAGAAACGGGGGGATTTCACTAGAAAAGAGTTTTGTCTTTGGTTGTTTTTGACATGGTAATGGTTCAAGAAGACAATGACATAAAAATCTAATAAGTGTTGTGCAGGTTGTCCAGGCATATCACATACAAAATAGAAGTATTAAAACAACACATTTTTCCTTATCTAGACACACTGCTGTGATCAGTAATTGACAGCACATTTTGTGTTACTTTTCTGTTAAAGTAACACAAAATGGGTTAAACCACAATTTAACAAATCACTTTTTTACAGTACAGTCTTTTGTACCCAAAAGGGGAAACTTATATAAACTGATTTCATGTTGTACGTTCTCCAAATACATTTTTATAAAAAATGAGAAATATAACAATTGAGGGTGGGAGTGAGTCTTGACTCGCACCTCTTATGACTTAGTAACTTATACTTATATTGCCAGAAGCACTTTACTATCACACCTCCTTCAATTGTTGGGCATCCCTTTGAAAAATCATGTGCGTCAATATGCAGATGTGTCCACCACATTTGCAGTTCTAACAGCCTCCATTTTTCTGAGAGGGCTTTCTACAAGATTTTGCAGTATTTCAGAGTAAATTTGTATCTATTTGGGCAAAAGAGAATTTGTGAGGTCAGATACAGATACTGAACAAGAAGGCCTGGCTCACAACTGATGTTCCAATTCGTCCCCGAGATGTTAAATAAGGCTGAAGTCATGGCTCTGTGTCAGCCACTGGAGTTCCTTCACACCGAATTGATGTCTATGGACCTTGCTTTGTACACAGAATCATACTGGAACAGGAAATGCCTTCCCCACACTGTTACTACAAAGTTGGAAGTATTACCTGTCTAAAATGTCTTTGTATGATCTATCATTAACATTACCTTTCACTGGAACTAAGGGTCCCGAAACCCTGAAAAACAGCCCCAGACCAAACCGTTAATTACCGTAGGTTCTCCTGGTATCTGCCAAACATAGATATGTCTGTCAGACTGCCAGATGCTTGACAATGTAAACTCATTTCATTCCCATTCCATCGTATAGTTCTTGGGCTAATGTTGTTTTCAGGAGCAATTCAGAAATCTGTGGTGATGCAACAGAAGAAAGACATATAGATTTCACTTATTTTCAAGCGGCAAAGCGGACATGGCAGTGCCATGTTTAAAGTCACTGACATCTTTGGTATGACCAATGTACATGCTTGATTTTTTTATATGCTTGGTTTTAATAGATATACACTGCACATCTCATTGTGATGTGACTGTACTGAATTACATAGATCAGAATGAATTTCTGTTCTGGTAAATTACAATAAATAACTTTACTGTCTCTGTGTATCTACAGTGAGCTGTTTACTGATGTTCTGTTCCTGCACTGACTGTCAAACTCTTCTCTTTCTACAGAGGGTCCACCTAAAACTACAACACCTACTGCAGTGGTCAACTCCATAAACAGTTCTCCTCAAGAGATTAATGGTAAACACAGCTAAGAGTAAGCAGAAAAACTGTCACTAACACACATTCATTGCATTTAGGATGTCTGTAGAGATGAAGATATTGACCAAAAACAGATAATGCTTAATTAGAGATCTAGTGCTGTGGGGTACAATTTACTGAACCTCCAAAGTCTCTGGCTATGGCATCAAATTCAATTCAAAATTCATGAGCAAGGAAAACTACTCTTGGCTGCAAGGTAAACTACTCTCGCACACGAAGACAATTACTTGTGCAAGGAAACCACACTCACCTGTGTGAAGACAACTACTCATTAGTACAATTAATCATGAAAACTGGATATTCACAGAGACAAAATGAAGTAATTACAGGCAGCGTTTCACCCAGCGCCATTATACTGGTGGACTAAGAAGATTGTCTTCTAGAGTGAAAGTCCTGTTTCTGGTTTTGTATATGCAGCAAAAGCTATGACAACCAGTCACAGCCAGCCAATCATAACACAGCTCCAGAAATTAGTAGTAACCAATCACATGTCGGGACCACCCACAGCTGTCAAAAATGAATTAATTGAGAAATATCACTGTTTTCAGTTTCTGTTAAACTGTGATTATTTCAGTTCTGTGATCATGACTTTTAAAATGAAACAAATAAAAGTATGAGCAGAAAAACATATAGATGTTCAACATGAACAGTATCTGGGTTAAAGTGTCTTTAAGGCTTTGTTAAATGATGCAAAATGGAACAGCAACTGTTCTCATGATGTCAAATAGATGGTGTGAAGATATTCTCAGGACAACTTCACACTGTCATGTCAGTCATGTGGGTGGGGGTGCAAATGGGTGTGTGTGTGGTTTTGTGACATGCAGTGCTGGTAGTTCTCAGCTTATACCAGTAAAAGTTTAATGAGGCACCACAAGCAGGTTTTCTCATGGTAAAGAGTGCACAAACACACTGTGACACCAAGTTGAGTTTGGACTTTTCAGCCAGACTACAATCAACCACTCCACTTCTGATCAAAGTCCTTACAAGAATGGCTGTCCATCTTAGCAAAACCACTCTAAGCAATTTCTATTCATATAAGAGTTAAGATCCTGAGTCTTTGAATGGGAACAGATCGATAACTCTTAAACTCAAAGCTACATAAACATTGAAAAACACTGAAAGACCGAAATTGCTGGTAAAATTTAACAAAACAACAAATGTAAAAGTTAACAAAAACATTGTTTAACATCCAAAACAATGCTAAAAAGTTTTAAAGTATTTTTTCTGGCTGCTGACTTCAAGAAGCACGTTTTTATTCAAAAGCAAACACAGGATTGTTTTTACAGGCCAAGCCTGACACATCAACACAAAATACACAGTTAATTAACTCAGTGTAGACCATTGCAGCTCTGACTGTATACTGTATCTTCTGTGGTCGAGGAGAGGCGGAGTCAGTGTTTCCCCTCAGCATTGGTGGGTGCTCCTCCCTTAATCACGAACAGCTGGTATAATTTGGGAGGAGCATTGACAGCATAAGACTGGCTCTCTGAAGAAGGACAGAGAGAGAAAGAGAACAAGAGAACAAAAAGACCTCTTCAAGTAGATGTTTGTTTGGTGTATCAGTCTCTGTCAATAAAACACTCTGGGTCACTTGTGCTGGTGTTTGTATTTGTATCTCTGAGGCCTCATCAGATTTCCAGTCAGCGTTGCTTGGCCCCACAGCAGCCACACTTAATACTGTTATAGCTACAAGAAAATAGAGACATAGGCCTCATACATGATTCAAACCATGACATCACATATAATTACCATAAAAGGGCCAGAGAGAGCAACTAGCAAAACCGCATAGCTGACAGTTAAAAAAAATGCTCAAAAGTACATGAGGTCAGAGCTGAAAGACGGGGCTTTAGTTCTCACACTTTTAACTGTCCAAGTGTAAAGACTGCTTTAACACTGT